TCTATTTTCTCAAACAATTTCCTCGTCACATTCTCCTCATTCCTGTTCTCCTTACCACTGAAGACGAGATATCTTTGACCGCATTTCTCAAGAAGCTCCCTGAAGTGCTTATTCTTCTTCACACTGTCTTCTAATGACTGCCTCCACTGCTCTTCTTCATGGTACAAAACGATCATTGTGTTGTTCAAGATATGTTCTCCAAAGTACTTCACTACCGGTTTGAAAATGTCGTACACGTTTGTTGGCATGTCTAACGGATTTAACGTAAACAGGATGGCGTGTGGCCCTGGACAGGAGAAACAAACCGCCTTTTTCACCTCTTTTTTTGACATGTAGTGGAATAAATCATGATTAATCAGATTTGGAGTGTTGACCAGAGTCACATTTCTGTCAAAGACACTTCCAGAAGTTTTAGTAGTTAGTATAGTGTGAGGATCAGCGCCGCTAAAGACCGCTCTCTGCAGGATCGACTCGGTGAGAGAGAACTGATGATGACCAGAGCTTCCAAATATGATCATTCTCAGCGAACTCACTGGAAAACAGGTTTTAGTAGAGAAACTTTATTTTTATGTTAACATTTTCTAATACTTGTAATGGCTGAACTTTAAAGGAAATCTCCACCCTGAAACACTAAACATATATTTAGATTGAAATACTAGTGATATGATTTGTTGGTTGACTTTATAATGACGTCTTGCTGAGTTATGGCAGGGACGAGCGCAATGGCATTGACAGTGGGATTAGAGATGAGAGAGCTGGACAGCCTTAAGGACTAAAACGCTGCTGCATCGCTCTCCCACTGCACCACTATCAGCATTGTGAGTGATGTAGGAAGCCGCCGAGATGAAAGAAGTCAATGCAGAATTTTATTACAAATTAAATACTGGATGCCATTGAAGATCACATTGTAATTATAAAGATTAATATACAAATCATACAGGATGGATTTTTCCTTTAGCTATGCCAGTAAAGATAGCCAGTTAACTCACAAGTAGGCGGTTCCAGAATGCTACTCCTGCGCTTCTTTGGGGCATCTGGAGGAGTATCTGATTTGAAATAAAGCAGGAAAATTAAAATATATATATATATATATATATATATATATATATATATATATATATATATATATATAGATAGATAGATAGATAGATAGATATAGATAGATATAGATAGATAGATAGATATGTAGATATATATATTAAACACTAATGCTGAGTCAAAGTGGGGTCACTCACCTTCGACTGCTGCCATCTTCTTTTGGTTGTCATTCAGTCTTAAAAACCTTAAAAACAAGTCTGGAAAAAGAGGCATACAACACTTCAGGATGTGTTGTTATAGAAAAACAATCCATTTCTGGGTGGTAACAGTAACCCTGCTTAATGTCGGGCTGCATCACAGTAACACCACTCTGTCGCTGATTATTTTGACAGCATACCCCAGCATAAGTGTTTTATTCCTTACATTATACATAATATATTTTAATACAGTTATAACAATATTCTCACCATGCTTCCTACTTTTGATATTTTCTAACTATTTTAGGGATTTCACACCAGAAACACAGATTTGTTGCTATCAAAGGAGAATTTTATAATAATCGCTTCTAATCGCTTACAGAAGTCACATGAACTTTATATGTGAATAATCACATAATTAATGTGTGGCTTTTACAGACATGTCACATGTTATGTTTCACACACACATTTCACTAGTGCATGTGACAAGATACCATATTTACACATGATGTACCATTCACATGTAGGACGTGACTAGGGTTAGGGTTAGGGTTAGGGTTAACCCTAGGGCATAACAGGGCTATATCAGGGCATAACAGGGCAATATCAGGGCATAACAGGGCATATCAGGGCAATATCAGGGCAATATTAGGGCATAACAGGGCATATCAGGACATATCAGGACATTTCAGGGCATATCAGGGCAATAATAGGGCAATATTAGGGCAAATCAGGGCATTTCGGGGCATATCAGGGCATTTCAGGGCATATCAGGGCAATATTAGGGCATATCAGGGCATATCAGGGCATTTCAGGGCATATCAGGGCATTTCAGGGCATACTAGGGCATAACAGGGTGAAATGCACCTTCATTTTCATCTTTTTCCACATGGGAAATGTATGTGAGGGATTTAAAGATTAAGAGAATCAAGTATCACTTATTCATTCATTCATTCATTCATCTTTAGTAACTGCTTCATCCTGGTCAAATGCCCCAGTATACACAATGTAAATATGACATGATCCATTAATGTGTAAAAGATTCATATTCAACAACATAAGCATCGAAAGCAGGCTTTATAACTACTCAGTAACTACCTGTAAGTGATTTTATGGATTTTAACATGCTTATAAATATGCAATTACATGGAAATCTCTGTAAAAATGATTGTTTTTATCCCTATTTTGAGGAGGTTGGAAGTAAATAAGATGCAAAAGTATGAGGAAGAGTTTAGCTTAGCTTAGCTTAGCTAGCTCAGACCCAAAATTCACAACAATAACAAAAAGACAACAGTGTTTTTCCGATTTTTCCCGTTAGGAATAGAGATAAAACATTATATTTAGAAGAAACGTTACCTTTTGTTGTCAATGAGATCCGTTTTAATAGCAAATTATAGCACTGCGCTGTTACGTATGCTGTTTAACAGAAACCGAAAGTATTTTGGTTGCCAGATTGGACGTTTTTAATTGACAAATGGTGTTTGTCTTGATATGCTGTATTGGAAAGGTTTGGGATGTTTAAATCGTGTTTGGATTAGAAATATTTAAACTATAGCAGACGTATTTGCATAAATTTGCACGTCTGCAAACTATAGCAGACATCCATCCATCCATTTTCTGTACCGCTTATTCTACACAAGGTTGTGGGGACCCTGGAGCCTATCCCGGGGGACTTGGGGCACGAGGCAGGGGTCACCCTGGACAGGGTGTCAGCCCATTGCAGGGCACAATCACACACATTCACACACTACGGACAATTTGGAAATGCCAGTCAGCCTACGATGCATGTCTTTGGACTGGGGAGGAAACCAGCATACCCAGAGGAAACCCCTGAAGCATGGGGAGAACATGCAGGCTCCGCACACACACACACACGGGGCAGAGGTGGGAATTGAACCCCCAACCCTATATGTGTGAGTCAAACATGCGAACCACTAAGCCACTGTGCCCCCCTATGGCAGATGTATTTGCATAAATAAATTTGCATAAATATTTGTATAAATTAAGAAGACAGAGTCTAACCAAAGCAATAAGCATGAAATTTGAATGTCATTTCTTTTAGCTGCACCGTTAAACGTGTTGTAACGAACAGCAAGGGATCTAAACGCTTTGCAGCTTTAAAATAAATTTTCAGTGATTCCCTCAACACTTTTTTTTTTTAATGAACAAATATCAGGCTCATTGTTTAACTGGGTACAGTAATATTTTAGCTCTTTATTTAGAGCCATAACTCTAAATAGTTCCTGAACTTTGCTGCAAGGTGTTTCTAGGCTGCTTGTTTTTGAATGATTGAGGTTTGGATAACACTTTAATTCGGTCAGGGTGGTGGATGATCCAGAGCCTATCCCAGGAACACCAGGCGCGGGTTAGGAATCCACTGTGGATGAGATGCCAGTCCATCGCAGGACACTGTACACACTTATATACAATTGTACGGTGTTCTTATACACAGTGCGAGAAAGTAAACTAATAAACGTATATAGGTGTTGGACCCGGTAGGTTTTCACTCCTTTTTAAGTGACATTTAAACACATAGTGACATTTGCGTTTATTAATTGGTTGATGCTTTTTTTCCACAAATAAATGAGGATCGAAGTCAAGAATAAAGCTAAGCCATTAAAGATTCTAGGTTTTGCTCCAGGGGTCTATCAGTGACTCTGCTGCAGTCTCTGTGGCCTCAAATTTAATAACAGTATATAATACATTAATGCTAATAATATTTAAATAATAAATAAATAGAATTTTGTCTCAGAAATATACAGTATGTGACAATATTATTGACA